TCATATGTATGTAAACAGTTATGTATGTGTAGTATAACCATTTTTTAAAATACATTTTATGAGACCCAAAGTTTTCTAAAATTCTTTGACCTCAAATTTGAGCATTTTTATTTCCTCATAACTTTCGAGGATCAACAAGCAATAGATACTTCATGATCAAGGGTGTAATACTCTTTGTAGTAACGATCCTTAAATATCATATTAACAATCGAAATATGGTCGAAGAAAAAACCTCTATTTAAGAGAGCTTCTTCCTATACCTATGGATTCCATTTGACTTAGAAATAATTTATTGACAATCGACCAATATAAAAAGAGAGAGAGGTTATGAATGTAAACAAATTGATTGCACATTAATTAGTACATTGATTAACAAACAAGTTTAACAAAAAGAAGCAGAAGCGGGCCCATTAATAGCCCAATGGGTGTAATTGCACCCACTGACCTTTAATTTTTGACATTTACGAAGTAATTAATAATTTTTAGTTCATAATTTTAACCCATAATTTTTACATAATTCTATCTCGTCCTGAATGATGTTCCTAGGTTCGCCCCAAAAGAGAAGTATGGAACTATTCAATTTGCATATGTAGCTGTTCATTGTCAATATACATAATGAATTATATAATATCACATAGCACTCTATCATTTGTCAATTTAAAACACAATCAACTTTTTCATCCAACCTTTTTCCTTCCACATCATATTATGTAATCCATTATGTATATGTTTTTCATGTACAAATAGTAAAATCCTAAACAAAAACATTATCAAGAGAGAGAATCAGATTAATCTTCAATCAAGAAAACAGCATAATCCATGATTACAAAACTCTCAATCCAATTGGTTCTGTAGTTCAGTTTACAGAATGTCAAAAGACAATAGAAACCATCAATATGAAGGCAAAGACATTAATAGAATGGAGGCATAAATTTTGTGCATTCATATGCAACAGAGATACCTCAAGCGTGATAGCTAACAAAGGATGCAAACATAATCACCATTTTGAAGCCAAGTGAAAGATTACAAACTAGAGGGGAAAGTAAAGGCAGGGGTAGAGTCATCTCAAATTGAAATTAACAACTCATTACAATCTATTAATGTTACAAACGATAACAAGTGGTATACAAAAAAAAAAAAAAAATGGTTACTCCAAAAATTGAATTATATCCAAGATAACGTCAAACTAGCAACGGTAATTATCATCTAAAATAATACAAAAACCATGATACTGATAGATGATCTGATGATTACATTGGAGATGGCCTTCATCTTGATTTGTCTAGACACCTTATCATGAAGGGAAATCATCTCTTCGGCTGATATGAACATTTATAATTTGCTTACTATACTCCTAACAGCTCTGCAATTCTCGTATATGTTGTTCAGCTAGTAAATTCACACAGCAATCAATGGCTCCAAAGGTTTAGTCCCTGCAAACCAGTGATATTGTTTGAGTACTCCTAAGGTTTGAACAGTTCTGACAGAATTGTGCTTCAGAAAAATATACATAACTCAAATCACATTATTTTCAAGAGAAGTGAAGATAAGAGGACATTTTCAGGGACGATGACATAACTTTCTTAAAAGCAAAATGGAAACAGTAAAGATATAAGAAGAGCTTTTAGATCAAGTTGCTTAAAAAAAAAAAGTCAAGTCGCTTAAAAATAACTTTTTGTCTCCAATCATGTTTCCGTTCCTCCGCTCGTGTGCCCTCCTCCCACTCCCATAACATGAGTGAAAAATGTTACTTTAGTTGAAAGTTACACTTACCTTCCTATCAAGAACATACTATAGCTCATAAAAACGAAGCTTAAAGAACGTAAAAGTACAAAAACATATCATAGCACATAAAAAGTACTCAATCATTTGATACTTGATAGTAAAAGGTTACTCACAAACTATTAGGACACAGAATGCTGTTAGATACTATTAAGGCGCGTCTCATAATTGCAATACATTATGAAATTAATCAAGAAACGCCCACAAAAATATAAAGCAGAATAACATGTCATTTCTTCGACAGGGGAAATTCCAAGAACAAGAAATGAATCACCCCCCAAAATCTAGAATCAAAATATTTATATGCTGAATAGGATAATTAAAAGCTCAGCTAAGCTAATAACTTTATTTTCATTTTCCAACACATTTTTTTGACAATTTCCAAGTCTTCAAGTAATTTTATGTGATCATTCTCTTTTAATATCAGATTGCATAAGAAAAATATTCAGAAGAAGTTAGCACACTCTCACAAGTAACAAAATGAGGAAGCTTACATCATTCTCCAGCCAAACATGGCCATGGCGTCAATAACAAGTTTGAGTTTAAAATAAGAAACTTTTTGTCGGTTGTAGTAGTAAACTTTTATATATGTGTGTGTGTGTGTGTGTGTGTAGTGAAAAAAACAAAAGTAATCTGACCAAATATGTTTAAAAAACAAAATTAGTGAAAAGTAAACTTTTGCTTATTTTGTAGTTTATTATCAAAACATGCTACAATTGCAATCCTTGCACTTGAAATTGTGATAGCAACTCAAGTGATAATTGTCAGAGATTCTTTGACTCTTAGTCAACAAGCAAAAAGTATCTCCCATGTGTCTACATTTATATATTATCCTTCCTGTTTCTGATATAAGAGAATCAATATTCTACCATTACTAATTTTCACACAAGATGATTCAAGGGCACTCTTAGCCATACACCATTACACCTAGCTTGCATATTTCCAGTTCATGACTTTCCGTGTGTTCATTAGGTAAATCTAACCTGGCTTAGCATCTACAAATATTGTCACATCGTAGAAGATAGACAAAACATGTATAAAAATAGCATAACCAATATCAGCATTATATAAAGATTACTTAGCCAAGGATTGAAATTCATACCAGTACTTGATCAAGCCATCCCACCCACAGGTAGCAACTTTACTCTGTTCCAACGGATGCCATTCAGAACCTATACAAACTCCCTCATGGCACTTTAAAGTTCTAAAAACCTTGCAACTCTTCCAATCCCAAAACCAGCATCGTCCTTCACCATCTCCGGACATAACAAATCGCCCATCAGGCGAAAAATTAACCTGACAAGCATATCCCGCCACGATGTGCCCCGCAAACCTCTTCTTTTTGTTCAACTGAAATCTCTCTCTAGTACTGTATATAATTATCTGATTATCCAAACTCTGACATGCAAGCCAGTTCGTATTGGGGTGCAAAGATATAGATGGCATTGAATGCATATGTGGCTCACTAATATACTTAATCACAACAGGAATCCCATACTCCCAGACACGTAATGACTTATCATCACTTGAAGTCACAAACCTCCGATTATTATCAACAAAAGTAATTGTATTCACTGCACCCAAATGCTGATCATACTCCTGTGTAATCTGCCCAGAATTCATATCCCACTGTACAATCTTTTTATCACTCATTCCCGCTAACAAGACATTCTGCTTATCCTCATCTGGATTGAGTCTCACTACATACGGAATCTTCCCAGTCGAAAAAGTTGATATAACTTGTCCAGTCTCTGTATCCCAATACTTTATGTTCTTATCATATCCTGCTGTCAAGAATTTACTTCCATCATTACAGAACCAAATATCCCTAACTGCCTTAGTATGCCCCATGTAAGTCCTCATACATTTTCCTGAATTAAACACATCCCATATCTTCACCTTTGAATCCATACCTGCAGACAATATCAAGTGACCAAACTTTGGGAAAAACCGAATAGCGGAAACGCCCTTGGTATGCCCACTCCATGTGTGAACCAATCTCTTCGGTATATAACAATGATCATTGCTAGCCTTGGCGTCCTTTGGAGGCTCAATCCACGACCTCCCTTGATAATCCCTCTCCTCTTTTCCATGAAAAGTACTCTTGTCAGCGTGGGCTTCACCTTTCTCTTTCTCGCCCCCTTCCTTCTCACCCTTTTTCTTCGCGTGCTCCTCAGCATATTTCTTCTGCTCCTCTGTCAGCTCCCCTTGCAGCCACTCTCTCTTACCTGCCCATGGACTCTTCCTATTCTTCGTCAACCATGCCTCAGTCGCCGGATTATCCACCTCCTCTGAATCCATCAGATCATTCCCCTCATTCTCCAGCTGCTCCAACGTCTCTTTCTTTTTCTCTAGTTTCCGCTTCTTCTGCTCATGTTGCGGTATATTATACACAGAAACACCATCATATTGCTTCAAAGCTTCAACATCCCCAACATAATTATTCTCAGTAGGGTCTGCCGCATACCCAAATTTATAAAAAGTGTTATACTGTTCATCAAACACAAACGGCTCAATAGCAGCATTCTCAACAAATCCAAGCTTATGATTACGGAGACCTTGCGCAAGCCCATCCTTGGCATAGGGATGAGCCGGGCCAACGACTGGGGCCCAAAGTTGGTCATACGTGGGGTTGAACGAAACAACATGCTGGGTCGGATTTAGGGGTTTTTTAGCTTCAGATTGTAACTTGCCAGCGACGGTAAGAGACAGCATAGTATCGTCTATTTTCGGAGCGGTGGACTTGGAGGGAAGGGAGATCCGAATTGGGGAGGAATCGGGCGACGGGTCCTGGTCTGATGTTGTTGTTGTTGCCGGTCGGGAATCTGATTGGCGTTCAACTTCATCATCTTCTTCTTCCATGTCCGGGTCTTTATACGATTGCAGCAAATCCATTTTCAGGGGTTAATCGGACGTAAGAAGGGAAAATAATAGGATACCGTGGCAACTCGCAATGGATTCTCAAATTAAAGATCCAATTCAGGGTACTGTAAGGTAGATCCACAACTAGAAATCCAATTAAGAAAAGGAAGAGTTTATTACTAGGATATTTGGAGATTGATGGAGATGGCGAAATTGAAGTGGAGAAGAAACAAGAAACAATGGGTAAAAACGCTAGAGACGTGTGGAAAATAGGATCTTGGGCCTTCGTGTTGCATATAGGTGGTACAAGTTTATGGGCTTACGGGCCTTACTGTTGTGGTGAAAAAAATTGAAAAAATACATGATTACAATTTTAAAAATAAGAAATTTGTGAAAAAAAATTGAAATATCATATAGTCATTGTGATTTACTAATTAATTAAACAAGATAATGTCAAAATAACACACAATTTATTGTCACAATCATATACTAATCACAGATTGCTAAATGTCACACTTAGAAAGCGTAAATTTACATGTAGAAACAACGTGAATGGAGATAGTACAGAGAGATTGAGCTTGAATAGATACAAGGCATATATTATAATTGATGGTGAATCAAAACCTATATAAATCCCAAGTATTCGTTGGGAACTCATTTTAGTACTTTATGAAAGTGAAATAGGGATTTGGACAGGACAATCGAAAATCGGTAGGTGAGAAATATCAGGTTCACGATCAAATGCAAATTGTAAAGGTGAATATTGATAATAGGCAGTTGGTCTTATACGAAGCAATGATGCAATATGTAATATGACATGACCACAAACAGAAGTTGAGAGTTTTGTTTTTATAAGTAATGATTTAACAATAAGTTGTAAACGTTTAATAAACGACTCCGCTAAACCATTTTGTGTATAAACATGCACAACTGAATGTTCAATTACAATCTCAATTGACATACAATAAGACCATTTTGGAAAGAAAATGACAAGAGGTACAACACTCACTGTTACGTCGTGATGTACGACAAATTTCGGCCATTTGAGTTCGCTCGAAAATTAATTTTTAAAGCTTTGGCATTATTTTTGTTAATTCATTTATTTTGGATTTTTTTTTTTTTTTGCAATTTTTGTTCGTTTAGACTTTTTTTTTCATTACTTTTAGTTTATTTAAACTACGTTTTCATATAAACCCTTATATATAAGGGGTTAGTTTGTTTTTTTTTTTATCATTCGTCAATAAAATTCGTGAAATTTATTTTCTCCTTAATTTGGTGGATTCCAAATTTCGTGATCTCAAGGTTTTCGCTTGAATTCCTTTTGCTCGTTGCGTCAAAACTTTTAATATAAATTTGTGATAACAATGGGATGAAATTTCAGATCTCAATTTTCGACCAACCTCAATGAGCAACACCATCAAGCCCTTTTTTCCACCACCTTATAACCTACTTAATCACTAGCATATGTAAAAAATATTTTTCTCCTACTTATTTCTTATTCCAATGTATATAAAATATCATGATCTTAGGAAAAAAAAAAAAAGCAAAATTGCCTGTGGGAGAGTAGCAACAGAGCCTCGATACATCCTTAAAAACCCTCTACTTGAACAAAACAAAGTATGGTCCAATTCAATACAAATCTAAATGTATATTAAGCCTATGTTTGGCCCCATTTTCTCAAAAACTCATTTTTTTCAAAATTTACTTTCAACCATACATTCTCCCATAAAATAATTTTACACTCTACTTGAATAAAACAAAATATGGTCTAGCTCAATGCATTTCTAAATGTATATTAAGCCTATGTTTGGTCCCTATTTTTTAAAAAAACTCATTTTCTTTTTCGAAATTCATTTTCAACCATACATTCTCCTGTAAAATAATTTCACTTAAATTCAAAAAAAAAATCTTATTTTTTAACCACATATTCTCTAACAAAATACTATTCTAAAGTACATTTTGGCCATAAAATGGGGCTCAAACAGGAGCTTATCTTATAAACAAACTCAACGATGAACTTCAAAAAATTAAGACAATCTTATCAAAATAGAATGTCCGTCTCTATTTATCGATTGTGGAGAATAAAGTTTAAATCGAATTGAATAATTTCCTTTACAATTTAAGAACTCGATTTGTAATATCATATCAATCCATGTTCAAATGCAAGCTCAAATTAATACAATCAAATTTGTCGAAAAAAATTAGTATTTTATTTTAAAATATCGCAAGTACAAATAAATTTATTCCACGGGAAAACAATATCCAACAAATCTCACACTTGACCTAGAATAAATTAGACATCTTAAGCACGTCCAAAAGTTACAACGTATTTTACCTCCATGCTGAAATTAGTAATATGAGATTTTTTCAAACAATGGCACCTTCACCCAATGTGAATAAGATCCAGATGTAGAATTGCAAGAGTTCTTATCAACTTGAAAATCAGGGACCAAATTTAGAGCTGAATAAATCGACATATATTTTTCTAGTTAAATGAAGATATTTCAGTATATGCTTAATAGCGGTCTAGTGCTCTGGTCTTGAATTCGACTATTATCTATTGACAATCCGAGCAACACAATAAATTTATTGTCATGTCCATAACATTGCATGCAGGAGGTTTCCTACAGCTAAGGCATAAACCTGCTTCATGTATTTCACTTTGCTAGGAGTTTTAGAATAATGCTTCCATGACAAGCGCAATCCATGTCCAAAAGGCGTTTGACATTTCTTGAAGTTTTGCATAGCAATTTCACCAGCATTTTGTCTTTCTATGAAGTTCGGAAAAGAAAGTTATCATCATTTTTACCATCGTGGACTTGGATCACTAGAACATAATTAACATCTCCTAAGTCTGTCATGTTAAACTGTTGTGCCAACCAATTTTTAACTGATGCCAGTTCTCCCACATCATTTCCAATGAGTAAATGGCATCAACATACACAAGTAAAATAACTTTTGTTGGCTTTAATGGGTTTATAGATACAAGGCTCATCAAAATTCTGATCTAATCCATAATACTTAAATAATGTAATGCGTGAAGTTAAGTATTCTGATTCAAGGGTCACATAGATCATTCTAAGAGGCATGTGAATCATATCCATTTCTCCGAAACTAATTACAAAAGATTGGGACAGAAGCAGGCTTAGTGAGTCGATCAATGTAAGCAATTAAGAATGTGTAGAAAAGAAATTGGTAATCCTCTATTCTATGGTTTCAATGATTCGTATTGATTCCATTTGATTGTAAATACAATTTCAAATTTAAAACGAGGGGGAAGAAATTTCAAAGGAGATTTCGTGGAAGCAGTGTTCTAAATAGCGTGTCTAGATGCCGTCAAGACGCGAGGTGTGGCACCTAGGACTTATGCGCTAATTTAGCGGTCTACGCTTTGTTGACCGCTTTAAGGCACATCTAAGCTCACATTGGCACGCCTTGGCATGCATTATTATTTTTTAAATTTTAACTTTAGTTTTAATTTTTTTTAACACTACATAGAGTTTCCAACTTTTGGGGGGTAATTGGATTGAAAGGCCCAAAATTTATTAATAATTATAAAATTTTCAACTTTTAGGCCAATAGATTGAAAGGCCCAAAGAGGGCACTACAACTATTCTGTTGTAAACTTTTGATATGGGATAAGAATACCTTAGATTTGACTATAGTACATTGTTCATTTAGTTTGATTGTAATGTATTGTACATTTTGTTTAACTACAGTGTATTATCCCTTTGATTTGGATGTAGTACATTGTAGTACTACTGTATAAATAATTATTTATATTCTATTAAGTTATTTAATCATTTTCCTATCTTTTACTAATTAATAAAAATTTAGAACTCTCCAAATATTTCAATTAGCACTATTATGATAAATTTGTTTATTGTTCGAAAACATATTTATTTTGTTAAGCTCTTAAAACTGCATTTGGTACTATAATTTATATGTATTATTAAACGATTTTTATATTGATTGAAAATTTAAAGTAATATTAAAATAAGAAAACGTATTTTCACATCTTTTTTTTATGTCTAAGCCTCACCTAGATGTGCTATGCATTACCCTTTTTGGAACACTAAGTGAAAGTGACGGAAACTCCAAACAGGTATTTAAGGATTTGATGAGATGGTCTTTCCCGTTTTGGTGCGGTACATAAATTAATTTAGGGTGGATGTTATTTAAGCTCCCGTTTCGCTCCCATTAAAACTCATCAATTTAATTTAAATTTTTGCCTCTCATATTTTTCACCACACAATATTCAATAAAATAATATTACATGCAAATCAAAAAAATTTCATTCTTTTACAGTCATCAATTTTTCAAAAAAATATTATTCTCCCCATTATAAATTCAAATAACGGGGGTCAAACGAGTGCTTATAGTCCAGAAATTATCATATTCTTAAAAGAAAAAAAATGAAGTGTAGGATTTAATTTTCGCTTGGTGGAAAAACATTTCATATTCAAGTGTAAAGGGGTGTTTCGAAGCAAATTTAGAGTTTCTCAATTACAGTAAACAAATGCTGCTGAATTGAGGGAAAATGTTTAGAAATATTGTGGCTTTTCTGACTCAAATTCATATTATAGGGATCTCCTTGATATTTGCCCTGAAATCAAATTTCCTCGACCTCAAAAAACGAAAACAATAAAAATTAACAAATAAATCAAGAGAAAAAAATGATTGGTCATAAAAACAGTTGAAAAAACGACCAGCCGAGAAAGAGCGAACAAAAATGGCGGCACTACCACCCTCGTCTCTGCAACTCTCTACATCAAACCCAATATTTTCACAGAACACGCGCGTAAATTCTTCGTACAAATTCCAGGCGCCTCCATCGGGAAACCACTCTTTGATTCCACGCGCCGCCACAGAAGAAGACTCGTCCTCTTCCTCTGAAACCTCTGCCGACCAAGATGACAAATTCGAGGACCGGCTCTCCCAGGTCCGCGTCCGCTACCGGAATGGAACGGGAAAGAAAGCCGAGCTCCGCAAGACTCGGAAGGGTAAGAAAACCGGATCCGGATCCGGGTCTAGTATATACCTTCCTCCCGTGCCACTAAAGGAGCCGGTTTCTGAAGGGTTGAATGTGGAATTCGGGTTCAGCCCTTTTTCGGAGCGGGTCAATGGACGAATTGCCATTCTCGGACTATCCGCTCTGTTCTTGGTGGAGCTTGCTACAGGAAAAGGTGTTATAAATTATCATTCACCTTCTATTGTTCTAATTCAGGTTTATTTTGTGGCTGCAGTTTCTGCATTGTATTTAAAGTATGAGAAAGAAAAAGTTAGTGTATGGCCTGAGAAATGATATATTTGAGGTTTGATGGATAGAATTGCTCGTTATCATATCTTATTGAAGATTAATAAAGATTTTGTTGTTATATTTGATAATTTTAGTGCATGTTTTGTTCTGATTTTTTATTTAAAATTTTTTTTTTGTCTCTTACTTTCATAAGTTAATCGTAATTTTTGACCTCTTCTCTTATGGATGGGACGAACATTTTTTTGTAACGGTTAAAAAATCAATTCTCGTAATCACTATCGAACAATTAGTAACTTATAAGCCATGAGGAAAAGAGCTAGTAAATTAAATTATGTTGTAATGAAATTTTTGTGCCACTTTGTTTACAACAGAGCTGCTACATGTGCAATAATTTTGACAGTCGTCACAGAGGTGGGATCGTGATCAAAATAATCGCGGACCCATCATTATGAGAGTGCTATAAAATTCACAGCATATAAATGTTTTACAAATAGCATTTCTGTTGTAACCATGCTATACTACCACAAATTTTGACACATTGACTAACACAATACACTCACATGGGAGGTCGCTATTATTTTATTCGCACTGGATTCACACTTCAAATGTGAGTGTGGTGTCATCATTTATGTCAAACATTATGATCGTTTGGCATTATCCTTTCTTTTGTTCACAAATATCAAGTCAAAATCCATAGTTAATTATTGCCTGCAATGTCTGTACTTATATTATCTTGATTTCTGGATTGTCGTGGAGCTTATCTTTAGGGAAGATGGAAATTTCAAATTCAAATAACCCAAAATCAATTATCAACCCTGAGTAACAATTTGGTGATCCTAAATTTTAAAATAATTGAAATTAACAATTACCTGCTTCAGCGTAAAAATAGACATGAACATTCTGGCACAACAAGGTTTCACAGTTTAGGTTAACGAATCAGATTACATTCTGTGTTAGAATTTGATCACAATAATGCAGAGTAACATAAAGAGGTAAAAAAAAATGGTTTAGTATTATACTATTTGTACAAAATGTATTTACAAATTTGATTGACAAAATAAGTGTTAGCTAAATTCGGGCTATTGAATTTCAATGATTTAAAAATCTATTTTTCAAATGATTGATGTAGATTTATATTGTCAACCAACTTTGTACATATAACATAACTCGAAAGTTTATTAATGTCAAAATAAGTAGCGATCGGGTATAGTCAGTAAATAGTTGTAATAGTTGAAGGATATTGTTAGAGGCAAGAGTTTGTTTGTGTGTGTGTGTGTATATATATATATATATATATATATATACACACACATAGAGAGAGAGAGAGAGAGAGATTATAATTTTAATAAAGGAAAATGTCAAAGTACTCGAATTTTGGTGATCGAATGGGTGATCGACCCTCACATGGAGCGTGAACCCCTTGTGAATAAAATAATATTCGACCCCCGAAATGTAAATGTTCGATCATCCCGCATGTCAATAATTATGTTTGTATAACACGATCCTTTAATAAATAAGGATTTTCAAATTGGGAAAATGGTTAGGAGGATGTAAACTACTTTGTAGTAGTATTGCTATAAATGTAAGTTTATTCAGAGCTTACTGTAGTGCCAAGACAGAAACCCCACAGGCTCTTCACAACATGGGGATGGACATTTTTGGGGTATATTTTTTAGTGAAGTGGCCTATAAAGACCCTGTAAATTGTAGCATGGCAAAGTGGAAAAATCCAGTTTATTAGGGTCTGCAGCCCTAGAAATTATTATCTTTGTAAGATACGCAAAAAGAAATATTAACTTTCATTCTCTCTTCTTTTTATCTCTTTTTATAACACGTTATCAGCACGAAAATTTAATTCTTCAGAATTTAGAGAAGATTCATGATAGGTTGTCAAGACACCTGCTTAATTAATAGTACAACTACACATACCATTATTAAACACAAAAATATTTTTTTAGACTTAACATTAGCAAAAAAATAATGTTAATACAATATTAGGTGCATCGAATGTCGTTGAAGGCTCCGAAAAAGCTTGTATTATTTTACCAAATAATACAAAATTATATATTGATGATGTACTTTATTCTAGCAAATTCAGAAAAAATTTGTTTAGTTTTAAAGATATCCGTTGCAATAGATATCATATTGAGACAATGTAAGAAAATAATGTTGAATGTCTTTGTATAACTTCTTTTGTATCTTGCAAAAAGCAGATAAAAGAAAAACTCCATGCATTCCCATATGACATGTATTATACATTTATAAAAAATGTGAATCAAATAATGTCATGAACCAAAAGTTCGTTGACCCAAAAGATTTTATATTTTGGCATGATCAACTTAAACTTCTAGGAGCTATAATAATGTGCCGAATAATAAACGACTCATATAGATATCCTTTAAAGAACTAGATCTTTTACCTAATAATTATCCATGTATGGTTTGTTCGCAAGGCAAGTTAGTCATTAGGCTTTTGATTAAAAAGATCAATATTGAATCTCCAACTTTCTTAGAAATAATTCATGGAGATATATATGGGCCAATACACCCTCCATGTGGACCCTTTTTTTATGTTATATTATTAACTGATTTTTCTACTAGATGGTCAAATCATAAAATTACAAGTTCAATTTTTCGATTACTCAATCAAGACTATTCGTCTCAACAATACTGGTGAATTTAGATCACAAATATTCAATAATTATTGTATGTCAATTGAGTTTTAATTGAACATTCGATTGTGCATGTCCATACACAAAATGGTTTAGTAGAGTCGTTTATTAAAGCCTACAACTTATTGCTAGATTATTACTTATGAAAATAAAACTCACAACTTCTGTTTAGGATCATGCCATATTACATGCTGCATCATTTGGTTTATATTAGACCAACTGTTTATTATCAGAATTTACTTTTGTAACTAGAATTTGGTCATGAACATGATATTTTTTACATACGGATTTTTGATTGTGCTATCTAAATTTCTATTTCACATCCACAATGTATTAAAATGGGTCTCCAAATGAAGACTTGAGATTTGTATGGGTTTTGATTCACCATCTATTATTACATATCTTGAAAATTTAACAGGTGATTTATTTACTGCACGTATTGAAGATTGTCATTTTGATTAAAATTTCTTGGAATGAAACAACTCTATTTCATTTAGATCCCTGATATGTGAGCAAGACGTTGAAAAAATCATTCATTTGTAAAAAGTTACAAACCAATTACTTGATCTATTTGTTGACACAAGAAAAATGGCAAAGTCATATATACCAACAGAAAAATATTTCAACTAAAATTGATGTCCCCGCAGAAAAATTTGTTGTAGCAAATGAATCTCAAATACGCCAGAAACGTATTGATCGGTTGGTTTAAAAGATTGTACCTCAAAAAAGAGTACAAGAAAAAACTAATCAAAAACTTCGAAAAATTTAATATTAAAAAAGATTGATCAATCAAATACTGAAAATATGGTTCATGCAAAATCACGAGTATTCGAAAAAAAATGAGATTTCAATAAATTATATGTTGTCTCATAAATTATTGGAACGAAATAATGTTGTTATATACAATATTTTCGCCTTTAACGTGACTATTGATATTATTCAAAATGAGGATCTTGAACTAAGTTAGTTAAAGAGTGTTAAAATAGAAATGACTGGCAAAAACGGAAAGAAGCCATACAGGTAGAATTTAATTCTTTAGAGAAATGAAAAGTGTTTGGACCTATAATTCGAATGCCTGATGATGTAATCCCTGTAAAATACAAATGTGTTTCGTATGAAAAAAGAATGAAAATATTGAAATTACAAGATACGAAGCCCAACTCGTAGCTCAAGGTTTATCACAAAATCAGGAATTGATTACGAGGAAACATTTTCTCTCGTAATGGACACCATCACTTTTAAATTTCTAATTAGTTTGACTGTGTCACAAAAGCTTAATGTGTGTCCTATGGATGTAGTAACTGCTTATTTGTTTGGTTTCACTTAATAGTGACATACATGTGAAAGTCATTGAAGGACTTAAAGTGTCA